AATATCAACTATCCTCCGCCCTGGATGAACTTAGAGTCGTCTATTATCCTCGAGATCAGCAAAAGAAACAAGAGCAGTACACCACCATCAGTCTATAGACAAATATTCAAACAGCTCGCAGCAAGTTTCGAAGATCAGGGATGGAAATTCATCTATACCGATGGAACAAAGGTCCACTCCACCACAGCTTTCGCTGTTGTAAATGCAAATCACGAGACAATCACAGCTGGTCATTTACTATCCTTCTGCTCAGTATACACTGCTGAAGCCAACGCTATACTCTGAGCAACGCAATATGCCCTCGGTACCAAGGAGAAATACATAATTTCAGTCAACTTATCGGCTATACAATCTATCCTTAATATGTCTAATATGGATAACCTGACCAGATTAATACGCAATGCACTTTACAAAGGAGGAAAATCAATAAAAATTATGTGGGTTCCAAGCCATGTTTTAATCCCTGGCAACGAAGCAGCTGACGAAAGAGTAAAGCTTGCAGCTAAAGAACCCCTTATTGTGGAGAATGCCTTTTCGAAAAAAGACATCTACAGGCTGGCAAGTGAACAAATATACAAAACTAAGCTGGAAAAATGGAAGGATTTCAAGCACCACTACGCAAACGTTAACGTAAATGGCGAGAAACCTATATTTCCGGAGAAGATCAGCAGCAACAATTTAAAAGCGTTTATTAGACTACGTATTGGACATACGATTGTTACCCATGAATCTGTCCTGAAAGGTTCGAGGTCGCCACAGTGCTCCTATTGCAACGTGGAAACAATCACCGTAACTCATCTCCTCGACAGATGTCAGCATTTCGCTACAATCAGAGCTAGCATCTTCAACACCATTGCATCCAAGTTATTGAAAAACCAGGACATTGAATCGATATCTAATATTAATGAATTCCTTAGGTTAACGAATCTTAAGAAATTAATCTAGTCTTAATTATCTGTAAGAAGCAATTTAGGTTAATGTAAGTACTGAACATATGTATATATATATTAATGAGCGAGCCGAAGGTGATCATACTAGCGCTCCTTTTTCCGGTAAAGAAGTGTCCTCTTCTTTTCCTTTAATAATAATAATAATATTTCACTATGGTTACAACAACAACTTACAAATGTATAGGGGTATTCTCGGAGTCTCGCCAAGCGCTTGTACTGTGCATGGATTGCACGGTAAAACCAGTATTCCTATGGGACAGCTTTGTAAACTATGCAATCCGTGCACCTTGCAAGGGCTTTGCAAGACTGCGAGAATTAATGTATTAAGTATTTGGAAATCTTTAGTTACCTAGCACCAAGAGAACGGTATAAAATTTATTTCAGAAGAAAGGGGGCGTTGACGCGATTGCGAATATATAACTTTGACCTAATATATAATGGGTCGATTATCGATAGCAATCGAACTTCAGTTACGTTGCTAGTTGCCAAAACGATATTACAGATAGCAACTGGCAACTTTCAACTGACAACTGCAGTTGCTATAAAGTGTGTATGCAGGCGACTACATTTTTGTGGTTGCTAGGAATGTTTTTGGAGCGTATTTAGGAGCAAAAATTGAAAAGTGTGTCATATATTTCACTTTTTAATAATTTGAACGATACTAACATTTTGCAATGCAGTTTGCTTTTACAGAATATGGTAAAAATAACAAAACAATAACTTGAAATTTTAATTCCTGAGGAGTACGCCCTTTGGCGAAACAAAAGCGAACACTGATTGCAAATTGTTTCCTTTATCGACTGAAGCACCTCTTTTAGAACTCCCGACACACCAAGTTTTCCAAATTGAAGTCATTGCCGTGGCACTTCCTTCTGCGAAAAAACGAAGAGGTGCGCAAGCTTTTATGAGCGGAGGTATTGAAGTTGAACGAAGAGGTTCATCTGTTTATTAACCAATTATACTACAGCTCCTTTTGGAAGTCCTCAATATGCTTTGAAAATGAAAACAAAACGATGATAAAAGAAAAACCTTGAAAGCATTAACTTTTGCTTACAGTGCACGCGGTAGCTCTAGAGGATTGGATTTATCCTTTAAATGTCGCCTGATTGAGGCCGCGTTCATGCACTTCTCTTTCTATAAAATAAATAATAATTGTGATGAAGTTAGCTTTACTGCTGTCTTTTCTTTAAAACTCTTTATTTAAATAATTTAATTTTACTCGCACAGCTTGTTTACAGCCGCTTGCTGGTTGTCGCTCTGTTAAATTTCGATTATCGATAACTCTACAGCAACTGACGATAATTGCCATTCGTAATACAAATTTTCTTTCCAGTTGCGTTGCCAGCTGGCAACCGAACTGTGGTTGCTTTGCTATCCGTAATCGACCCATAAAACAAACAAGTAAGAAAGTCTATGTTCGGGCGGAGCCGAACATTAAACACCCGGCGCAAGTATTAAATATATGTTTTTCACCTTTCCGAGAGCTACCGCTACATGGTAAACTGGGGTGTATCAATTTTTATACCCGAGCGCACTTGTGCACAAGGGTATTATAACTTTGTTCACATAACGGTTGTTTGTAACAGCCAAAACGAATCGAGATAGATATAGACAAATGTATACATAAATGATCAGGATGAAAAGAGAAATCGATTAAGCGGTGACTGTCTGTCCGTCCGTCCGTCCGTCCGTCCGTCCGTCCGTCCGTCTGTGCGCACGATAACTCGAGTAAAAATTAATATATCTTAACGAAACTTGGTACGTGTACTTCTTTCGGGCGTAGGACGGATGGTATTGAAAATGGGCAAAATCGGACAATAACCACGCCTACCTCCCATATAACGGTAATTTTCAGAAATACGGAAACTGCGATATTTTAGTAACTACTGAAGACTATTCACTCAAAATTGATATTTACAATAATTTTTAGACAAAAAATAAGAATATTATAAATTTTTGAAAAAATGGGCGTAGCCACGCCCACTTATGGTTACATGTGTATATCGTGGCAACCGCCTCACCAATTTCTTCCAAACTTCGCACAGTTATTGGCCTTGGTACAGGATACCAAATGGCTGAAAATTTTTAAAATCGGACAATAACCACGCCCACATCCCATATAACGGTAATTTGGAGAAATACGAAATCTTCGATAAATCAGTAAATATTAAAGCTAATTTATTCAAAATTGATGCTTGCAACAATCCTTTACCAGGAAATACGTTTATGATAAAATTTTGGAAAATGGGCGAGGCACCGCCCACTTATGATCGCATATATGCATCTCGGTAACCGTTCTTCCATGGTTATTGTGCTTGCCACATAAAAGCAAAGCGTTGAAAATTATTGAAATCGGACTAAAATTACGGCCTTTCATATAACAGTAAATTTTAGAAATGCTTGAAACGTCAATATTTCGAAATTTAAGGACGCTAATTTACTCAAAATTGATACACCCTGACTTACCATGTAGCGGTAGCTTTCGGAAAGGTGAAAAACATATATTTAATATTTGCGCCGGGTATTTAATGTTCGGCTCCGCCCGAACTTGAACTTTCTTACTTGTTAGTAAATTACCGTCCTTAAATTTCGAAATATTGAAGTTTCAAGCATTTCTGAAATTTACTGTTATATCAAAAGCGGCCGTAATTTTAGTTCGATTTCAATAATTTTCAACGCTTTGCTTCTATGTGGCAAGCACAATAACTATACCGAGTTTGGTACAAATTGGTAGAACGGTTGCCACGCCCATTTTCCAAAATTTTATCCTAAACGTATTTCTTGGTTAAGAATTGTTGGAAGCATCAATTTTGAATAAATTAGCTTTAATAATTACTGATTTATCGAAGATTTCGTATTACTCTAAACTACCGTTATATGGGATGTAGGCGTGGTTATTGTCCGATTTTGAAAATCTTCGGCCATTTCGTATGTTATACTAAGGTTAACAACTGTGCCCAGTTTGGAAGAAATTGGTGCAGCGGTTACCAAGATATACACATGTAGCCATAAGTGGGCGTGGCTGCGCCCATTTTCCAAAAATTTATAATATTCTTATTTTTCGCCTAAAACTTATTATAAATATCGATTTTGAGTGTACAATCTTCAGTAGTGTCTAAAATATCGCAGTTTTCGTATTTCTGAAAATTACCGTTATATGGGAGGTAGGCGTGGTTATTGTCCGATTTTGCCCATTTTCAATACCATCCGTCCTACGCCAGATATAAGGGCACGCACCAAGTTTCGTTAAGATATCTCAATTTTTACTCGAGTTATGGTGTGCACAGACGGACAGTCACTGCTTAATCGATTTCTCTTTTCATTCTGATCATTTATGTACTACAGTACTTTTTCTTAGAAAAAATAACCCTCATTCGTTCAACTCCGGCTACGTACAAAATCCATAACGTATGCATGTGCGTAGAGATGAGCAGACTTCCGAGCCCAGTTTAGTGGGGCGCAGGACTAGATCAAACCAAACCAAAAGTAATGATGTTTAGTAATTATTTTGCTTAATGTTTAGTACATAGCCTTTTTTATTGTGTCTCAGAATTCTCAGTTATTATCCAATCAACAGCCTCTGAGAAATTTTCAACCAGAGCAGTCGGCGGAGGATCAACCACTACATTTGGTAAATATTTTCCAGTTTTCACTTGTATTCCTTTTAACCCCAACTGCATCGCACCTGCTATATCATCTTCAGGATCCTGTAAAGGCAAAAATATATACGAATGGATGCATTAAACAAAATTTTATCGCAGAAAATTAAGAACGAAACAAGTCACAGTATTTACATCTCCTATCATGACACATTCTTCTGGGCATATGCCTCCTGGTAAGGCACTTCGAAAAAAATATTCATTCGGTTTTCCTATTAGTACAGAACGGACGGAAGCTGCGTACTCTAATCCTTTAATAAAAGCTCCGGGACCCAGTGCCAGACCGTCGCTTCTTCTATAGTATTTGCCTTGATGTATGGCAACAAGTCGGCTATTCTTGTTAGCAATAAGCAAACTGCATATAAAAACCTGATGAGTGCTTATACAGCATAAAAACGAAAACCTACTTGAAAGCTTTGTTTAAGTTCTCATAGTAGAATTCAGTCGGAGCTAATCCAACTACTACCGAGTCCAGTGGAAGTGAACCATCATTTCTGCCAAAGTCTGTACGCGCGTCATTGCTTAACAAATAGAAAGGATTAAGTTTCTCCTTTTCAACATAATTTGCCGCTGCACTTAATGAACTAAAAATCTCATGTGCTTCCAATTCGAAACCGATCTTTTGTAATCGTTCATATAGTGTTTTTCTTGACTCCTTCGTAGTATTCGTCACAAACTTGATTTGAATATTAGTCTCACGTAATCTGCCAGTCTTAACAAAGATAATTTTATATTTATTATCATATTATGTTCTGCATATACCGTTTTAATGCATCTACAGCTTTGGGAGTAGGCTTATCTTCGACATGTAAAGTGCCACTTAAGTCGATAAGTGCAGCCTTTATTGACATGTTTTTACTTTTTTGAGATAAAAAACGTTTGCAAAAGTTACCTACTCCCAGAAATTTGGGGCACATGCAGCCGATAAAAAAATTTATAGCTCTGATCAAGGTGTATTAAACAAGGTGTGATTGACAACTCAGTGCGGCTCTCTTTTGAGGTACTATAATGTCAAAAAGTATAAACAAACGAATTAACCCTTAGTGATGCATGTATCTTGTCAGCACTGATACCAAGGCTTTTATTTTGATTATAGTTTTGTTTTACTTACATTACCTGGAATATATATATTTTGTCAATAAAATAAAACAAATTGTTTATCAAATCGTTTAGCAATTTTCTTGTTTTTAATTGCCCAAGATGTTTGGTTTTGTGCGTTTATTTTTATATTTAAATTTTTTATCCTAAACATTATTCGGCACTTATATAAGTATTATTTTTCATTTGTTTCCAATTTTATATGAGAGCTTAACTCTAACAATTTTGAAATTAAATTTTTTTTTCTTACGAAATAGTTTGGGTATAAACGAGCTCGTTTGAAAGTGCTTGACTCGGACGGACAACAAATGAAATCACTTTCCTTGAAGTGGTTTTCCCAAACGCGAGATGAATCAACTAGGTCGTTTAAAACATCGCTCTATATTCGTGCCCTGAATTCTATTGCATACAGCGCACCGTTCAAAGGTTTTGCTCCGTTTCATCTTGGTTTCCTTACATTAAATATTCAAGCAAAGTCGAACGTTATTTACTTATTACCAAACTTTAAATGTGCTTACTTGCTCTCCTCGGCGGTTTATCTCTTAACAATTTCACGTTTATTAAGAAAATTTGTTGCTTGAAAAATGTTTGTGTACATTTTTTATAACCAATTCAAATTAGAAAAAAAATATTTTCAAATGGGTTAACAATTCATTTCAATTTGACATTATAACCAGTTTCTTATGACAGCAATGTCAAAATCAATCACACTTTATTGAATACATTTTGGCTCTGATCCAATACTTTTCGTGAAAAATCCTGTAAAATTGTCAAACAGAAAAATTACTCTCTGAAGTGAGAGTAAAAAGTGAGTAGCAACAAAAAGCCAAGTGAGTATTCAACAAAGTGTGATTAATTTTGACATTGCTCTCATAAGAAACAGGCTATAATGTCAAATTGAAATGAATTGCTAACCCATTTGAAAATGTGTTTTTTTTCAAATTTGAATTAAAAAAAAAAATACACACAAATTTTTCAAGCAAAGCAAATTTTCTTAATAAACGTGAAATTGTTAAGAGATAAACCGCCGAGAAGAGCAAGTAAGTACATTTAAGTTTGGTAATAAGTAAATACGTTCGACTTTGCTTAAATATTTAATGTAAGGAAACCAAGATGAGACGATGCAATAAAAGTCAGGACACGAAAATAGTGCGTTGTTTTAAGCCACCTAGTTGCGAATTAAGACGGCAGCGATGGGAAGAAAGCTTTGGTGTAGTACTACGTGATTCATCTCGCGTTTGTGAAAACCACTTCAAGGAAAGTGATGTGCAAATCAAACACTTTCCAACAAGCTCGTTTATACCCATGCGCAGTCCCAATGCCATACGGAAAAACTGATACAAGTGAGGATTTAGTACACGA